ATATTGATAATCAAACTCTATTTTTGTTAAGGTTTGAGACCGTAAGCGATGAAATTGTTTGTAAAAAATGCAAATATGAAGTCCTCTCCATTCTTAATAATTTAATCTCTCCACCAATCACATCATATTATCACTGTAAACACTGGTACATAATTTAGCGGAACTTTAGCAATCTTGAGTTTGTTTTGTTATAGATAAAAAGAGAAGAAGTATTTATGTATATTAGTTTCATTGCGTTCCGATATTTACTGCCAATATTGCAAATCTATAGTACATATAATGTAAAGTATAGATTTTTAGTACTGGCAGTGAATATCAAAACGCAGCCTTTGTACATATATGTGAAAAAGAAACCAACAAATACGTAGAAAACAAAAATGGAAGTTTGATTGTATCTCAATTAATTTTGTACGAGAAAATTGTATTTGAAATAGAAAATGGATAGTAAAAGCCATTTAAATGGAAATGTAAAATAGGTTTTGAAAAAATATATTTTAAATATAAAATACAAAATAGGCATTGTACATTTTGCACTTCTATTTTAAATGCATCCATTTCAAATAATGCACATCTCTGTTTATATCCTTATATTATGTTTAATTATATTATATTCTTATATCCAAATTGCTGAGCACAGAATTGCAGAAATGCACATACACCTTCCTTCGTACAATATACTATAGTGTAGCCTCGTCTTTTCTTTGACTGTAAAACCGATGCACACCAACTAAAAGATTTTGAAGAGATTATATGTAGAAATATCACTACCTTATTGAAAATAGAAATTTGCACATATTCATACATGTACATTTATGTTAAAATGTGTATATAAGCCAAATATATAAAATTATAAATGTGTGTGTGTGTGTGTGTACTTTATATATCCAATAGAATGTATATCCAAATTGCTGAGCACAGAATTGCAGAAATGCACGTAGACCTTTCTTCGTACAATACTTATAGTGTAGCCTCGTCTTTTGTTCGACTGTAAAACTGATGCACACCAACTAAAAGATTTTGAAGAGGTTATATGAAAGGTGGTTAGAAGAGGTTATATATATGAATGAGATTATAAAAATATCACTAACTTATTGAAAATAGAAATTTGCACATATTCATACATGTACTTACACATTTATGTTAAAATGTGTATATAAGCCAAATATATAAAAGTATAAATGTGTGTGTGTGTGCATATTTACTTTATATATCCAATATAATTATAAATCCAACTTGCCGAGCACAAATTGCAAAATTCACCTTTTTCACAACACAGTATAGCCTTGTTTGTGCGGGCAATAACCGTTATCTTATATCAAAACCAATAAACTATACGATTTCAATGTTTTTGTTTACAAAATTGCCAAATGTGTATAATAATAAGTTAACGGTTATTGCTCGCATAAACAAGGTCTCATTGCTGAAGCTGATACACTTCTAGACAAGGGGGAAAGACAAGCAGAGGGAAAGAATAGATTGTGCTGCCGGAGAATCACCAACACTAAACTATAATATGGAACGCGCCTTCCATTGTTCGAGCTGTCTGCGATAGAGAGCATCACAACTAGGATTTCTGTCTTTGTCTCGTCGTCGCTGATTGGTTGAATTTATACGAGTACAGTCTAAGACAAAAGAACAACGAATAGTAAAGAATGACTGCGTTCAGCAATTTGGATATATATTCTATTGGATATATAAAGTAAGTACACACACACACACACATTTATAATTTTATATATTTGGCTTATATACACATTTTAATATAAATGTGTACATGTATGAATATGTGCAAGTTTCTATTTTCAATAAGTTAGTGATATCTCTACATATAACCTCTTCAAACTCTTTTAGTTGGTGTGCATCAGTTTTATAGTCGAACACAAGACGAGGCTACACTGTATTATACGAAGAAAGCTGTATGTGCATTTCTGCAATTCTGTGCTCAGCAATTTGAATATAAGAATATAATATAATTAAACATAATATAAGGATATAAATATAATATGTATCATAAATACTTTATATATATTATAAATATTATGTATATTATAAATTTATGTATATTATAAATATGGAATATATTCTAAATAAAAAAATATTTTTAAAATTGTTTTTTTTATATTTTAACTGAAAAATCCTAACCTAACTTTGCAACCGACAGGTTTGGAGGCTGCAGCACCTGTTCCGGACACGCCAGGAGGCGATGAAAATCCTTCGCGACAAAAGGAACTGCCAACAAACAAATAAATAGACATTTAAATAATATACAGGCAAAGACTAAATCAGACATTTTTCTTTATTTTGTTTTCTTTAAGAGCGGATTTTATTTAATATATTTATTCAATATTCAGTATTAATATTTATCGGTATTTGACTTCCGTTTCCGGCAGCAAGTTAGTACGAAGTGATTGAGAGTGTAAAGATAGATTTGATAGTTGTGTGATAAGAGCAGCCAGTGTTGAGTGAGTGTGTTGTGTGTGGGTGAGTGGAGAGTAGCGAGGGGTGAGTGAGCGTTTAGGTGGAGGCGAGAGTGGAAAGGAGTGTGGAAAGGAGAGTGAAAGGGTGACGAGGGGCTAGGAGGTTAGGTTGAGAAAGGAAAAAGGCGGACCGCGGGCATAGGGTGTAGAAAGTGCAGAAGGGGTACAAGGTGTAGGGCCCTAGTGAATTTCTAGGGAGTTCTTTAAGGCGGTAAAAGCTTAAGCCTTAAGGCGGTGGAGAGGAGGAGGAATGGCAGAAGGAGGCGGTAAAGAGATGGAAAAGAAGGTTAGAGGGTTAGAGGGGTGGAGAAGGGAGAGATCGGGAAGCGAGAGCTCTGGCTCTTCATCGTTGGATATGTGGGTGAAGAAGAAGAGAGAGGGTGAGGAAGGGAAGGAGAGTGAGGAGGGATGGTTAGTGGCTAAGAACAGGAAGACGGTGAGGTCCCCGGGAGAGAAGGTTGATGGAAGGAAGAAAGGGGATACTGGAGGCAGGGGAGAAGAAGGGATTGAGGGGATATGGGAGGAACTAGAGAAAACAAGGAAGGAGAGGGTTTACATAGAAAAGGTAAAGAAAATGGAGAAGAAGCTGGAGGAGTGGAAGAGAAGGGAAGAATTATTGAGAATGGAAGAGGAAAAAATGAAGGAAAGGGTGAAGGAGCTCGAGAAAAGGAAAATGAGGGGAAGGAGGAAAAGGAAAAGAAGAAGGAAGAGAAAAAAGAGATAGAGGTAGGGAACAAGTGGGAAGGAAGATTGAGGTCGTTGGAGGAAAGTATTGAGAAGAAAGAGAAGGAAGAGAGAAGGAGGAAGAACGTAATAATAAAGAGAGTTCCAAAGGAAAAAGGTGACTGGAGGTGGGGAGTCGAGAAGCTCCTGAAGGAGATAGGAGCAGAGGTGAGGATAAATGAAATGAGGAGAATAAACACAGGGAGAGAAGAGAAAGGTGAAATGGTATGGGTAAGGTTGAAAAGGGAAGAGGACAAGAGGATAGTGTGGGATAAAAAGAAGAGATTGAAAGGGAGAAAAGTTTGGATAGAGAAAGATCTATCGTGGAAGGAGAGGGGTGATTGCAGCGGTAGAGAGGAGGAAGGGGAAAACGGCCTGGATGGTGGATGATAGGATAAAGGTAGAAGAGGTTTGGTGGAAGTGGGACAAGGAAAAAGAAACCTTCGTAAAGATTGGGAGGGGGGTGAGCAGGAGGAGCAGGAGAAAGGCGTGAGGAAAGGATGAAAATGTGAGGGTAGTATTTTGGAGTGTGGCGGGGCTCAGAAATAAAGATAAGGATTTTTGGGGGAGGTTAAAGGAATGGGACGTGGTGAGCCTATCGGAAACTTGGTTAGAACAAAAAGGATGGATGGAGATTATAAGGAAGCTGCCGAAGAATTTCAAGTGGGAGGTACAGTGGGCGAGTAGGAGAAATAGAAAGAGTAGGGCAATGCGAGGGATGTTGATGGGAGTGAGGAAGGAGCTGGAGTCAAGGGAAGAAAAGGGTTAGGAAAGTAAGTTAGGGAAAAGATAATGATGAGAAGAGTGAATATAGAGGGGAGTAGTGGAGGATTGTGAGAGTGTACATAAACAGAAGGATTGAGGAAAAATTGGAAGAGATAAGAGAGTGGATGGAGGGAAAATAAGAAAAAGTGAGGACAATAATGGGAGGGGATTTTAACGCAAGGACAGGGGAGAAAAGTGGGGAAGTGAGGAGGGAAGGAGAAGAGGAGGAGGGGAGGAGGAAATCAAAGGATAAAGTAGTGAACTCAGAGGGAAGGTTATTAATAGAGAGGATTGAGGATTTGGGGTGGGTAATATAGAATGGGGACATAAAAGGAGACGAGGAGGGAGAATGGACTTATATAGGAGGGAGAGGGGAGTCAGTGATTGACTATGTGATAAGATAGAGGAAATGGGAACGAAGGAAAAGGTGGAAAGGATAAAAATAAGAGAGTAGGTAAATTCGGATCATCACCCGGTGGGGATCTGGATTGAAGGTAGAAAAAGGGTGGGGAATGGAAAGAGGGAGGGAGAAAGAAAAAAAGGTGGAATAAAAAAAATAATCTGAACGGAAGAGGAAAAGAGAAAGTGGGTAGAGGAAATGCAGAAGGAGATGAGGGATGTAGGAAGGGAGGTGAAGGAGGAATGGGAGGATATAAAAAAAAGAATAAAAAGAGTGTTGGGGGAAAAGGAGGTGGGTAGGGTAAAGAATGGGGGAAGGAGGTGGTGGGATGAAGAGTGTAAGGAAGAAAAGAAGAGAGTAGGAAGGAGGGAATTGAGAAAGTAGAGGGAGGGGAGGGGGTGTAAGAAAGGATATAAAGAAAAGAAAAGAAGATATAGGGTGATATGTGATAGGAAAAAGGAGGAAGAGAATAGAGTATGGGAGGAGGTGGTTAAAAAAGTGGCGAAAACGGTGGGGCAGGTGTGGGAAGTGGTAAATAGGGAAAGAAGGAATAGGAGGGAAGGAGGAGAGGGGATAGAGTTAGGGGAATGGGAAAGATATTGTAAGGGGCAGTTGGGAGGGTGGACTGGAAAGTGGTAAGAGGTGAAAGGGGAATAAGGGGGGAGGGAGAGGAGGGTTTAAGAAGGGAGGAAGTAGTAAAAGCGATTGGAAAGTTGAAGGAAGGGAAGGCAGCAAGGGGGGATGGTATACCGGCAAAGGTGTGGAAGTTTGGAGGGAGAAATATGCAGAACTGGGTATGGAATGTGTGTGGGAAGATTTGGGTAGGGTAGGTAGGTGAGATTGCTGAATGGAGCGAGGAGATAGTGATACCGGTGCTAAAGAAAAGGAAGGGTAATAAGGTGGAGGATTATAGAGGGGTGATACTAGCGGGGACGCTTTATAAGGTATATGCGGAGGTACTGGCGGAGAGGTTGAGGGAGGAGGTGGAAGGGAAGAAATTGATGCCGGAGAATCAGGCGGGTTTCAGGAGGGGGAGGGGGATTATGGATAATATATACGTGGTGAATTACTTGGTGGGCAGGAATTTGAGTAGAAAGGAGGGAAGTTTAACCCTTTGCCCTCGAGGCCGTTTCCGCGCGGAGCTACCAGCAACTCGAGACGTTTCGTAGCGCTTTTCGTGGCTGCGTACTAATTTCAGATAAGAAAGTCTTATCTCCATTTGAAGGGATATCATTTTACACTTCATAAGATTATACAAANAGAGCGTAGGAACCCGCGTCGAAGGAACTAAACGTAAACAACTATCGCCGCGCATCAAGTTACCGCAGCGTACGCAGTGGTGAGCGACAGTCACCTCTCGAGTTGCGGCATAAAATCGCGTGGTGAGTGAGACTCACCTCTCGAGTGCAAAGGGTTAATAGCATTGTTTCTGGATCTGAGGGCGGCATTCGACACGGTGGACAGGGAGTTATTGTTAAGCTCGATGAGGGAAAAGGGAGTAAGGGAGGGATTAGTGAGAAGGTGTGGGGAGTTATATAGGGAGACGAGAAATAAGGTGAGAGCAGGGGGGAGTTGGGAAACGAACTTTGGACGACTAGGGGGGTGAGGCAAGGGTGTCAACTGAGCCCGTACCTATTCAACTTGTTGACGGTGGATATGGAAGATTGTCTGGTTAGGAATGGTTGGGGGAGGGTAAAGATAGGAGGTAAGAGAATTTATGTGTTAGCTTATGCGGATGACGTGGTGGTGCTAGCGGAGGAAGAAGAAGGGATGAGGAGGATGATGAGAGGGTTGGAAAAATATCTGATGAGGAAGGGTTTAGAGGTAAACGTTAAGAAGACAAAAGTAATGAGGTTTAGGAAAGGGGGGAAGGGACAAAAAGATGGAATGGTGGTGGAGGGGAGAGAGACTGGAGGAGGTGAGGGAGTTTAAATACTTGGAATACGTGTTCCAGAAGAATGGGAGGAGGGAAGCGCAGATAAAAGAAAGAGTGAGGAAAGAGGCGGCGATAATGGGTCAGATGTGGGAAATTGGGAAGAGAAGGTTCAGTGAGGATTGGAGTAGGAGGTTGTGGTTGTTCGACGCTCTGGTCTGGTCAGTGGTAAGGTATGGGGTGGAGATCTGGAGAGAGTGGGAAGTGGTAAAGAGGTTGCAGAATAGATATTTGAGATGGTTATTGGGGGTAGAGTGGAGAACTCCGGAGTATATAGTGAGGGAAGAAATGCAGAGGGATTTGTTGAGGGGAAGGGCGGGGCAAAGGGCCTGAAGGTTTGTGGAGAGATCGGAAAGAGGGGAGGGTAGCGAGATAGCAAGGCTGTGTCTAAAGGAGATTAGGAATAGGGAGGAAAGAAGGAAGGGGGTGTCTAAGTGGGAGAGGGATAGGATAAAGTACTATGAAGAGAGAGGAGTAAAGTTAACGCGAAGTTGAGAGAAAGAGAGGAAGCAGGGGAATGGAGAGCTCGGTTGCTGATAGAAAAGGAGAGGAGGATGCAAAGAGAGGAGAGGTGGAGAAAAATTGAGAGCTCGAGGTATAATAAGTGGTACGGGAGGATTAAGAAGAATGGAGTGCCGGGGTATTTAAAAAAGCAATGGGGGGAGACCAAGTGTCAGAGGGTGGCGAGATTTAGATTGGGAAACGAGATGAAGAAAGGAAGGTACTAGAAAGGGGAGAGTTAAAGAATGTGTAGGATGTGTGGGTTGGTAGAGGAAGGTTGGAGGCACGTGTGGGAAGATTGTGGGGCATGGGGGGCGGAAGGAAATTGGGAAGATATGATTGAGGTGGTCTTGGGGAAGGAGGGTGAGGGAGACAGGTAGTTAAGGAGGCTGGAAGAATATAAGGGAAGGAAACAGTTGACAGGGCTGAGGGATGGGGAGGACTGATTGGATAGGGAGGAGTGGGGGTTAAATGAGGAGAATAGGAATGGATGTTTGGAATAATGTGACTGTGGAATTGTATAAGTGCGAAAGAAGGATGTCTGAGAATACATGGCTGTGTAGGATTAGTGTTGACTGCCGGAAGGGGAAGTCCAAATAGCGTAGAGTAGGGTTGCGAGTGTGTGTGGGTGTTATAATATAAATAAGTTAGTTGTAAGTTAGTTGTAAGGATAGTGTAAGATTTTTATTTGTATATGGATTTTTGAAACCCTAAGGGGAATCAATAAAGGTATCTAATCTAATCTAATCTATTTATCGGTATTTACTCATATGTATTAATCGTATTCATGTTATTATTATAAGTGAAATCTCTCTCTCTCTCTCTCTCTCCGGGGTGCATAATGCCCATAACTTATTGATCAGATCAAATGGAGTTTATTTTATTTTTTTAGAGAGGCTTAGAGAGACCGGGTTTCTCCACCAAACTGACATTTAAAAGTTGTCAACGACACTTGTTAAAGTTAACATGCATAATTATTGGCAAAACTCCAGAAATCGGTTTAGCTTAACTTTATGGGTAATCTGGATAAGTTTCGGCAATAATGGGAAAGTTAGTATTGGGCTAGGTACTTACCTGTTAGCACTAACCTAAGCCAGAATCGGATATCTGCGTTAATTGACTATTCACTTGAAGGGAAATCAACCTGCAAAATAAGAGCAATAATTAGAATTAAGAAGTTGTCATACTTACCTTTTTTTTTTTACTTGGGGAAATGCCCGCCCACTCCCTGACTCCCGGGGGAGAGCCAGGGTAGTGTGGGACTTGAACCCACTAAAACCCCAAGGTGGTTCTCCAGCACGCATAGAGGGAAGGCCTGGAAAGCCTAAGAGGCTATTACTTCCCGACCTTCTCTCCTGTGCACCCGCGGCAAATAGCCGCAACCTTCCACTAAAGAAAGGAGGTGGGACCACCACATCTCCTCACCACTTCCCGTGGAAACCGCGTGCAATGGCCGAGCGGAGCCCCCGCTTCTCCCTTCCTGCGGTTTCCACTTGCTGGTCTACCGGGTGTGACCCTCGTAGTACCAAAGGACGCCCCCGGAAGATGAGCGTAAAGAACTCCCTTACTCTTCGGAGGAGGGAGATTGTTGTCTCCTTCTCCGAACGCCCCGTGTTGGCTGGCCTTGTCGGGCCCTTTCAACATCCTCTTTGATCGACATGACGGACATGGAGAACTTCTCCACTGCCCGCCATGCGCCTCGATCTTGGAGCATTTGTTCCACAACAACTGGGAGGGACAAGTCTTGCCCTACGGCAGCTCTAAGAGCAGCCCTTTCCTCGTCCCATCTGGGACACTCGGCCAGCGTGTGCTGGACCGTGTCTACAGTTCCCCCACAGTGTTCACACANCGGGGAGTTGACCCTCCTGATCNTGAACAGATAAGATCCAAACACTCCGTGCCCCGTCATTATCTGTGTCAGGTGGAAGNACAACTGCCCGTGTGGCCTCTCGAGCCATTGGTCCAGCACANGCCGCACTGCNTNCANNACCCTNTTGCCCCATACNGACCGTTCTAGGCGCTCCTTCCAGCGCCTGATNATTTCCCGCCGTGCGTGCAGGCGGAGCTCGTTCTCCGCATCGGGCGGAACTTNAGCTCCTNGCCTCCTAAGTTCTCGGACTCCCCGGAACACTTCTGCCTGCTGCCAGGCCAGCAGCTCNGCCGGGGGAACTCGGGCCAGGACTCGTGCCGCCTCGAGCGATACCGTCCGATACGCCCTTATCACACGTGTGGCCGCCATCTTTTGTACCCCCGCAAAGGGGGTAACAACCCGGCCCCTCAACTCGTCGTGCCACACGGGTGCGCCATACATAAGTACGGAGTGCACGACGGCTGAGTAAAGCCTCCGCACGTGTTCTCGGGGTCCATCGAGGTTAGGGAGCAGCCTCCCCAGTGTTGCCGCAACTCTCCGGGCCTTCTCGGCGGCGTACTTAAAGTGGGCCTCAAAGAACCACCTCCCGTCCAGCATCAAGCCCAGGTACTTGATGCTGGGTTGCGTTACCACGTGGACACCCTCCACCGCAACTTCCACGGGACCGCCCGTTCTTCCCGGGGGGCGAAACACCAAGGCCTCCGTCTTTTGGGCAGCCAGTTCCAGGCCCGGCGTCGCTATATGCCGCGACACTCTAGCAACGGACTCACTGGCACGGAGCGCAGCCTTTCTTCCGTCCCTGCCTGCTGCCAACACCAGAGTGTCGTCGGCATAACAGACGACGCTGCACAGCGGCGGCAGCTCGACACCCAGAACGGCGTCGTAGCCGACATCCCACAGCAAGGGCCCCAAGACAGACCCCTGAGGTACCCCGCAGGTAACCTTGTGGGACCTTAACTTCCCCTCTCGGCACGGGTACATCACGTACCTGTCCGAAAAGTAATCGTCCAGGACGGCCTGCAAGTAAGTTGGAAAGTTCCAACCCCGCAGAGCCGCCCGGATGGCCGGCCACGACAAGGTGGTGAACGCGTTCCGGATGTCGAGGCTGACCGCAACGCATGTTCTACTCCGCGAAGTGTGGCCCCCGACGATCTCCCGTACGCGCAGCACTGCGTCGCACGTGGAGAGCGCCGGTCGGAAGCCGAATTGCCTGGGCGACAGCCCACCTCCCTCCTCGAACCAGGCTTCCAGCCTGCCCGCCAGGACCCGCTCGAAGAGCTTGCCCACCTCATCCAGAAGACACAACGGTCTGAACGACGAGGGGGCGCCCCCCGGGCGAGGTGTCTTGGGGATCAACACCAAGCGCGCTTGTTTCCACGCGCGCGGGAAGACTCCCTTTTGCAAGCACCGGGTAAAGCAGCGCGCCAAGCGCTGTGGTACTAGTCCGGCCACTCGGGCCCACACGGCGCACGTCAGGCCATCCATTCCGGGGGCTGTTTTACGTCCGGCAATGCGGCGCACCACGCCACGGAGTTCCTCCACAGTAACCTCGAACTCCGGCTGCCACAAGAGGACTAATCCTTGTGCAGGAGCACCCTGCTCCTCACGACTTGGAAACAGAGTTTCCACCACTTGACGCGCTCTGTTCACTTCCAGCGTCTCCGTTATCGCCGGGCCCGTCGGGCGTAGGCGGTTGAGGACAATCCGATACGGCCTGCCCCACGGGTCGTCGTTCAAGGTCTGCGTGAGTTCGTCCCACGCAGATCTTTTTGCCGCGATGATCGCGCGGCGAAGATTGCGCTGCGCACGGCGGAACCTTAGCCGAGCGGCCTCCACCTTCTCCAAAGCGTGCCTACGCCGCACCCTTGCTCTTGTGTATCTCCGCCGGCAAGCAATGCACTCTTTACGGAGGGCGGCTATGTCTGCCGACCACCAGTACATTTGCCGACGGAGAACGCACTTCCCGACTCTCGGCATTGCCAGGTTGCACGCATCAACCGCTGTGCGGGTGATCCACTCAGCCTCTTCCTCGGCTGACCACCCTGTCTCCACAGGGTTGCTTCATGCAGCACCTAGAACCGCTGCCTCAAAGAGGTCATGGTCCCAGTCCTCCTTGCGCCAGCGAGGAAAGCGAGGCTCTCCGCGATCAGCGACGCCGCGCTGGCGGCGGACTGTCAGCGCGACGTACCTATGATCTGAGAGGGACTCCTCGTCCTCCCAGACCCCCCACCTGGTAACGAGTGGGACCGCCGCTACCGACCCCCACGACAAGTCGACGACCGAACAACCCTGTGGGCAGACGCAGGTCCACGTAGAGCCCACGTTAAGAATATGGACTCCCGCGTTTCCGCAGCCCACAACTCAACCGCCTTTCCTCTCGCATTCAACGAGAGTGAACCCCACTGGGTGGACCACGCATTAAAATCTCCTAGGACCAGATACGTTCTACCGCCAACACGCCGAATGCTATCTCGGAGTGAGTCCAAGGACTCTTCCAGTTCTTCTCTGCTGCGGTTGAGGAAAAAATAACGGCTGAAGACTGTAAGTTTGCTCAAGCGCACAGCCACGAAGCCACGGCCACGGTCTAAAACTGCGGACACAGTGCGGCTGGCCTGGGAANACCAGACAACCGCAGCTACTCCGTCCAGGTCGCTGGCCCACCCGGAGAACTGTGGAACCCAGTAGGGCTCGGAAACCGCGGCCAGCGCGATCTGCTTTTCGCGCATTACTTGCCGGAGCAAGTCCTGCGCTGGACCGCAATAATTTAAATTAATTTGGAGGATCTGTTCCATCTTCCTCTGTTACCTCCATCTGCTCCTCGGTCCTTCGCTCCAAGAGTTTCTTAACGCCGTTCCGGCCCTTTGTCCTTGAGGGACAGGCCGCGCTGCCCGTTCTGTGCCCAGACAAAAGGTTCCGGAATGCGCACAAAACACAATGAGCCTTCTCTTTACACTCACGGGCGACGTGACTGTTTTCACCGCAGCGATANCACATCTTGCTGCGGTCGACGTCATTGCGACAAGCTGCCCGGACGTGCCCGAACTCCANGCACTTAAAACACTGGAGTGGTCGCGCAGAAAGAAGGACGGCGCAAGCCGAGGACCACCCTACTTTTAGCCGGCCTTTTTCCGCAATTTTGTCCGCGACCTCAGCCGGGCAGCGGAGCCAGGCTACGCCCATGCGATNACGGCCCTCCTTAATGGGGCCCATTGTGACGTCTTCGGCGCGACAGGGGCCGANCTCGCCCGAGGACAATACCGCCACTACATCTTTTGCCTCAACGGATTCGTCGAGACCCGTGAGGCGAATTTCGCCCTTGCGTACCGGCCGGGTGACCGTGGCCTTTCCTTGTAAAACCGGGGTCAGTGCAGCCATCAGTTGGTCCGCCTTCTCGTCTCCACCTGGGCCCGGTATTTCAACGAGGATACCCCCGCCGACATCACGANGAATGCGAGTGTCGTTAATCCCCATTTCCTGAAGGGGAACCGCCGCCCGCGCAGTGCGGATAATGTCTGCATACGGTGTCGGTTGCTCTTGTCCCGGGGGACGCCGAATTGCAACCGTAGCCACGTGCCGAGGTTTGCGCTTCTTGCGCCTAACTCCGCCTAAGGGTTGGCTGGCAGGCCCTAGCTGGGGAGAGTGCCCGTCACCCTGTTGTTGCCTCCGGGCAAGGTTCTGCTGAACAGCAGTGGGACCTTCCGGTCGAGCGACTGCGGATGTGAACTTGGGGCCACGCCGCTTTTGCTTGGTGACTTCCACCCACGTCTCTGTCGAGGGCTGCTGGCTGGCCACCGGTTGGGTATTTCGACAGACCGGCTGCGCAGTCTTCTGTCTGCCGTCTTGAGCGGCGCTCACGTTACCCGAAAGCGCGCCGTTAACTAGCTCAACGACGCGCTCCTCCGTTTTTCTCCTGCTCTTGCGGAGCAGCTCTATGACCTCGCGTTTGATAACGGAGGCCATGTCCTCCTCACCGGCAAAAGCCGGCTTTGGGGATCCACCTCCAGGGGTTTCTTTAAGGACCCGCTTTCGGCCTCCCACCGAAGGAAGATTCACGGGTGGGGCCACCACCTTGACCATGGGACCAGCGCCCGCTGGAACAGACTGCACAGACGTTACCACAGGGATAAACGCCTGTACAGCTACGTCACATCCTTGCCGCGCTGGGGCTCTTTCTTCGATCTCTTTTACTCTCCTCTTCAGCCCCAGGATTTCGGCTTGTAGTGCACCATTCGACAGGCGAAGTTGGTGCACTTCTCTTTCAGCGGCAGCAGCACGGTCGTACAAATGTTGTGCGTTATCCCGCATCTCAACACGTGCAGCCAGGGCCCTTGTCTCCTTTTGGAGTTTGATAAAGGACCGCTTCATTTGGCCCGAAATCGAGCCTTTTAGCCGCTTAGACTTTTTCCTCAGTCCATTCACATACGTGAGGCGACTGAAGATTACTTCCAACAACGTGGGAAGCGACGCGACTTCGGTGTCCACGTCTGGCCCCGGATCGATGTCTGACTCGGGCGCGGAAGTCGCATATTCGTCAGAATGACTGACGGTAGTGACGCAACTTCTTTTGGCCGCTCTTTGCCTCTCCCGGGCGGCGCCCTTTGCCCCTTTCCGCGTTAGAGCACTATTCTTAAAGAACGAGCGGGTTGTTTTTTGCCGCTGCGTCAAGGACAGCTGCTCGCTCTCCACCTGAGACTCTTCGTCCGAAGACTGGATTTCTAGAGTGGCAATCACTCTCTCCTCCGGGATCCTGCTCGGACCAGGACCCGCCATATCCACGTCCTCTATAGCTTCAACAGTAGCACTAGGGACTGCTCCGCCTGCTTGGCACGAAGCAGCCAACCCCTCGTTTGATGACGACCGGACGGGGGCAGGGCCAGGACCCCCGAACTGCCGGGACCTGGGTGTCCGTTCACCCTGGTCCGGTAACATTTCTTCCTCTGTATTTGTCATCTCCATGGTGGATGGGGTGGTTTAATTTCGGAGTGTCCTTCTCCTAGAACGATTCCCGGCCAAGGGTAACGAGCTCGTCCTGCCCGGGTTTGGAGTCAGAGTTTTTCTTCCCCTAGTCCAGTGGCCGACCCGAAAGCGTCTCTCGGAGCTGGACACCCCGGATTTTTAGTCAGGGTTTAGTCCCCTAGTCCGATTGCACCGTGGCTGACGGGGTCGGACGTCCCCGGATTTGAAGTCAGGGTTTTCTCCCCTATCCCAGATGCCCCCGCATAAGGGGCTAAGCAGGGCTGAGAACCCCCGGTTTTTGTTCGAGGTTTTCCTTCCTCTATTTCCTCTCTTAGTTTAGGAGCTCCCCGAGGGCCTTCCTGGCATGGGTGACCCTGCCAGGGAATCCTAAGATTCCCCGCCAGTATAGCCCCTCGGATCTGCGCTTCCCTAAGCCCGGGCACCACGACAAGGTGGGGGAAAGTCGCCCGGATACTTACCTTGGGCCGAGGAGACTAACTCCGTCCATCCGAGTTAATTCTCATCTCCTCCGAGTTAGTCTGGCAGCTACCTGAAACAGAAAAAAGAAAGTTAGTTAAAAAATAAAAGTTATAAGTTAAAGTTGCGAATTATTGCTGAAACTTACCCAGATCGTAGATCATCGGTAGTTGAATCCGTACGGTGAGTTTAATCAATAATTACAAGTGTTACACATAAAACGTTGTTTGTGGGTATCACTACTGATTCGCTTGAGTAACGCAGCTATCGGCGAGATTCGGCCTAGCGAGAAATCTTGTGATGGTAAGTAGGTGATGGAAGTAATTTCCATAGTTGCCGGGCAGATCCAAGCGTGGTCCAGTGCGAGACCGGTTAACGGACTAGCCCGAGATAAAAAAATTTTAAAAAGTCTAATTATCTGTAGGATTGCGTGTATTGTAAAGATTTTGTATGAGAAACAATTGGGCAAAATATTTCCCATAATTCATTTAGACGTTTCGCGTGCTTACGTTCAGTGCGATGTGTCGCCAAAAGATCGACCTGAAGTAAAGAAGGTTTGCGTTGGCAATTATTGACAATGCTTGGTGTACGCGCTACTCTTCTTTAGACTAGGCGTATAAATGAGTTTTGTCAATATTTATGTGTTAGTACTAACTTTGTTAGGCGTTGCCAATTATTGGCGCAACTTAGTGTGCGTGCTACTCTTCTTCAGATTAGGCGCTGGAGCGAGTTTCATCAATAATTGGACGTTAGTGTTAGTTACGGTTTGCGTTGGTAATTATTGTTAAGACTTTGCATACGTACTGTTCTTTTTTAGATTGGGCGTCCAGGCGAGTTTTATCAATAATTGGAAGTTAGGGTCTAACCCTGTCAGTATTCGTCGGAGACTAACACTCACTGAAAAAATAATTATTGTTAATACTCTGCGAGCGTGCTTGGCTGTGTTAGTTAAAACGTTATACTGCGGGTTTCGCAAATAATTATTAAGGCGTACTTACCTTAGATCCGGTAGGTCCTCAGGAATTAGCAGCACCTGTAAAAGAAAAACGTGATTAGAATTATGCGTGGTATTTAGAGGTTTGAAAGAGTTTTGATGGGAAAGGCTCCGCACTAAATATTTTCAGTAATTGATGTGTTGATAAGTTTTGGTATTTACTTACCTGGGATCCTTCTCCATCGATGACTCAGTCTGAAATAAAGATAGGAATTGTGAATTATTGGCGAGACTTCGGGAATGAACTTCTCGAGTGCTGATGAGACTTTGCTGATAAGAAGTTTCAATAATTGAAGTTTTCAAGATTATGTTAACTTTGTGTAAAATTATCAATTATGGGTGAAACTTTGTCAGTAGACATGGTTTAGATCAAAGAACAGTTCAGCAAAGTTTCATCAATAATTCGGTAGGCTTATTCTTGAAACGAGTTGCGCATGCGCGAACACCTGGAAGGGAAAGCGAGCTTTTTTGCCGGGGTCGAGCGCGCTGGAAAGTAGTCGTAAATGCGCCACCGATAGGATCGGGTGTGTAAACATGCATTTTGCTCAGAGTGGGAATCGCGCTTCCGAGTGAATCGGATGCTTTGCAAACGAGCACCACTCAGGTATTCAAGCATACGAGCGTTCCAAGAAATCGGACGCGTTGACTATTGTAGCGCTCAATTAGTAAGTGATACACGAGTTCCGCGACCGCGAACAACAACAACGTGTTATCCGTTTATTTTTGTAACACACAAAAATTGTTATCATAACAAGTGTTTAATAAACATTATTCGTGAAAGTTCACGTTAATTAAGTGTCTTCGTTAGACCACGTACTTACGTCCGTGGTACATCTCGACGGTGGCATACCACTATTCTTGTTCTTTCCCGTTGGCAACTGGTACCAAGGTCTTCCAGGAGAGTCCAGAGGCTACCAGAGGGTCGGATGAACGCCAGTACGGTGAGTCCGTTCCCGTGATGTGTAGACACACGGGATTAATACCTTCTTGCTTGAAAGGTAAAAGCAAGTGGCGACCGATAAACTTGTGTGGGTTAGTTTAACCGTCCGGTCACAACCTAACCTAACCTAACCTAAAAGCAGGATTTAGTACTGATCAAGACTTGTGTGTTTGCATGATGCCGGCATTTTGAAGTGCATTCTGCTTACACAAAGCTCGCATAGTGTTGAGCATAACGTGTCGTCGCGATACTTGTCAGATGGACCTGTATTTAGCAGTCACAGAGACAGTACGCCATGGAAAGCATGCTTGCATAATGCCGGCACGTTGCCATCATTTTGTTTGCTGGGAAGAAAATTGAATAGAAGAGTAGTTACATTATTGACACGATGTAGTTGCAACCAACCAATTGCTACTATTTGGTTCGCATGGCGCTCGCTGGCGCTATGAGCAACCGCCCCACTTGCCTTCCGATTCCCGCGCCTACTCCGCGAATTTTTGACGTCGTCTGTACATGGCTGTTTGCCTGTGTGCGTATCCCCTACACTTGCTGTTGCGTGCTTACTGAGTCCATGGCTGCGTTTTGAGCATAGAGCTTATACTAATGGAGAGGCCATGCCTATATGCTAACCATAGAGAGGGCCGCGCGAGGAGCAACAGAGAGATAGATATATTTTGTCTCAACTGTGGCTCCCCCACTCCGTGTTCTCTGTTATTCTCTTCTATAAGAAGTGCCCACAATTGAAACAGAAAAATATATCTCTCTTTGTCGATCCTCCTTGCGCTCCTATGGCCTCTCCATGAGTATAAGCTCTATGGTTTTGAGTTAGGGCTTCCGCACAAACTCTTTCTTAACGCGTTACGTTACGTTAAGTACTAGTTTGTGCGTTGAATAAAGTTCAAGTTTACATACAAATCTAAGTTTATGACTAGTAATTAACGTTACGTTACGTTAAATATTAGTTTGTGCGTTGAATGACGTTCAAGTTTACGTACAAATCTAAGTTCATAGCCAACTTAACGTAACGTAACACGTTAAGAAAGAGTTTGTGCGGAGGCCCTTATGCATGAAGCGCAGACTGCATAGAAAATTGTTCCGATTTAAACAATGCGAGCATTGAAAAGCGCTTTGAGAATTCCCTAGATTGTACTAACCGTACTGAATTCTTGGCATTCCTCTCAGCGCATTGACTGCTTCTACTCTGATTTGAGGCAGTTGATGCGTTTGACGCGTTTATGCAGGGTGCTTTCCAGCTACACAGCGCGTCAAAAATTTGCGAAGTAGGTGCGGAGATCTAGGGGCAAAAAAGGCGGTTTTTCTTAGGGATAAATAACGCGACACAGTTGTGGATAAATGATTGCTAGTTAGCTGTTACAGTGCTCGTTGGTGCTATTTATTCCTAAGAGAAACCGCTTCTTTTGCTTCTAGACCACAGACTTCTATATACTACACTAGACCGCTAGCTCGCGTGATCTCAGCGTAGATAATGGCTACAAAATCTATGTACAATGGAGGTACTGTGGAATGCGAATTTCATTGGTTGATTTTGACGATAAGGAGAGTTCATCCAATCATTACCTATATACTTATGTACGTGCGCGACGATGCATGCGCAGATAGCAATTCAGCAGTTCAGCATAGTGAAGGTTTTATGGCGGTTGACGGCATAAAGCACACATTAAAAGAAACGAGAACCAATATACCAAAATATTGTTCAACAATATAATTGTTTGATTTATACTCCGTGAAATTGTTAAATAATATATGTAGAAAGGGCCGATACGGAGTGAAATACTAGGTGTTGATGTATAAATGATAATCTTTATTTAAAAATGCCAAACGTTTCGACTCTTGGTTTGAGTCATCTT